GGACACTGCTGGGATCTTGTGTGAACGCAAGTGAACAAAAAGTTCTCTCTTGTGCAAGGAGTACCACTGTTCAGAGAGGCTAGGTAGTCAGACTTTCCATATGGAGACAGAGCTATCATCCTACAGGGAAGATAAGGATTGCAGGTACAGAGATGAGAAGTGGGAGTCCCCTGAGCAAAGTCTCTGCAGCTGCCTCTTCAGCAATGAAGAAAAAGAATTCACTGGTAAAGCTCTTGTACCTTCAAATCTCATTACAAATCTGGTTCCAGGCTGCTTGAAGCCTCTGGAGAGGTTACAAACAGGTGGTGATGCCTCTGAGCTGGGTACTGTCCTGCCTCTTGCTTCACCATGGGCACTGAGAGGGGAGCACAGCTCATCTCCGCAATGTCCGGCCGGCGCGGGCANATTTAGCTTCCACTAAACCCATGAAGTGAATTTTCTAGTGATTTCTATTGAGACCAGGTCCAGTCTGATGCTGCATGATGTCTTCAGGCCCTTTTACATATAAACTGGTTTTAATGTTAGCTTTTAATCTTAATAGGAGTATGATGAATTGGCAGAAACACAAGGAAAGCTGGAAGAGAAATTACAAGAACTTGAAGCCAATCCACCAAGGTAAAGAGACAAACTAAAAGGTTAAATCCTTAGGAATGCAGTTCTTTACTGCCTTTTCCCTGAATTTCAGAAATGCTGTGGTGTTATGGGAGCTGAATAGGTTACAAAGGCACAAACATGGAGTTTGAGTTCCCTCAGCTTTAGAACTCAATTTCCTCATTTTTAGAGATGACTCAAACAGAAAAGTTGGTTTTGAGAGGGTGATTTTGTAGAAATCCTGGCAGTAATCAGTGCCTGATCCCAAAGGCATTTGAGGTTTTAAATACCTGTCAGTAATGATAGCATGGAATTGTACTTATATTGCTGGAATATTATTATTCTGTGCAATTTTACTAGGCTTTTTATTGCTGTCCTTATGCATGCAACTCAAGCAATTATTTATGTAACCTTTTTTATTTCTGAAGTTTTTAGCTTCCCTTTGAGTATTTTACATGAATTCTGCTTTAAAAACCTGAATTTGCTGGATTTTGATACTCAGCTTTCATGAGAGAGCTCTGGATGGTCAGAAGAGAGTCTGATTAATGTTTTTTATTTCTGGGCTAAGGAGGGAGTCAGAAATGACTTGTGAAGAAATTTTCAGAAGCAATGCATTTACAATATCCTGTTCTAACAAGCTAAATGCCTTTGTGCTATATTTGTTTTTTCTAGTGATGTTTATTTGTCATCCAGAGACAGGCAAATACTCGACTGGCATTTTGCAAACCTAGAATTTGCTAATGCTACACCCCTGTCTACACTGTCACTGAAGCACTGGGACCAGGTGGGTAACAGTACTCAGCAATCCATAAAAACTTGAGCTATGTTTATTTAATTCTCATGAAAGTTTGTCAATATTAAGAGTTTCTAACTGTTAAGTATCTGCTTTTGTGCAGGTACTGAATTCTTATGTGGTTATTGTTTGATGATGAAATTTCAGACAGCTTTTTGTTAGTGCCAAAACAATCTCTAACAGTACTCTCTGCCTAAAGTTTCCATACTTATTACTTGATAAATAATCAGAAATAATTTCACATTTGTTTGAATCCTTAAAAAAGATTTTGAAATATTTTTTGCCATTTTGTCGAGTTGATTATTTTTTATTGACTTGGAGGACTTCATTATGTGACTGCATGCTTTTTATGCCTTTTCCTTTTAGGATGATGACTTTGAGTTCACAGGCAGCCACCTGACTGTGAGGAATGGATATTCCTGTGTGCCCGTGGCCTTGGCTGAAGGGTTGGACATCAAACTGAACACAGCAGTCCGGCAGGTTCGCTACACGGCCTCAGGTACCTGGCCTGGGGGCATGGAAAGCAGATTTCTGTGCTTCTGGAAGCACCTGTGAGGATTGATATTGTAAAACCCTTCCCATGGCATGTTTGGGGTTAGATAAACAGCCACATTTCTAATTAAAATTCTGTAAATAGTTGCTAGAGGTTTATTAATCTTGAATTATTTTTTTATTATTTCTGTGACTCATTTGACAAAGTCTTTTCCAGTTGTATTTACTGATTGTTCACATTTATTCTCTTATTTATTTCATTGACTGAAGCATTTGGAGTAAGAGGTCTGGGCCTGTTTAAGGACCTGGTATTAGAAGTATAAAGGAATGTAATGGAAGGAATGTATCTGTTTGTTGTACTTCAAAACATTGGGCTTGGGAAACTGTCAGCTGGGAGAGCAATGTAATGAGAGGAACACTCCCTACTTGTTGATATATATAAATAATATTTACTGACCTGGATGAACCTTTAGGCTTGTCCCAGTAAGGCCATTTTCAGATGCTGCCCTAATTGTGTTTGCTGCAATAGAGTTAAATGGCCAGTAACAACTTGCCTGCAAGTTTAGTGCTGTTATTGTAAAGCTGTCTCCATAAACAAAATACTTTCTGATGTGGTTATGGTAATTTATTTCATTTTTAATCCAATGCTCTTGCCTCATAGCCTATGAAAGTGTTTTTTCTCCCCTTTCCAGGCTGTGAAGTGATAGCTGTAAACACCAGATCCACCAGCCAGACCTTCATTTATAAGTGTGATGCTGTGCTGTGCACTCTGCCCCTGGGAGTGCTGAAGCAGCAGCCCCCAGCAGTTCAGTTTGTGCCTCCTCTTCCAGAGTGGAAAACCTCAGCAGTGCAGAGGATGGGCTTTGGCAACCTCAACAAGGTACAGGGCCCCTGGGGGCTGCAGCAGAGAACCTGAAATGTGGCTGCTGGGGGAGAGCAAAATGCCTTTCCACAGCTGTTCTGCTGGGGTTTGGTGGTGAAAACTGTCTGGGGCACTTGCAGAATGATGGGAGTTGTTAACCAGAAAATGAGAGCACACTACCCTGTGGGAAGGCAGTTACAGGCAAACACCTCTGTGTATTGTGTATATTCACCACAATTCCCTTTCATGACCTGTCCAGTGATAAACATCAATTAGTGTAATTATCTTTATTTTTATTCATTCCCTTCACTCCCCTAACTGTTTTTACTCTTTCTTTCCAGGTTGTGCTGTGTTTTGACCGTGTTTTCTGGGATCCCAGTGTCAATTTGTTTGGCCATGTTGGGAGCACTACTGCCAGCAGAGGAGAACTTTTCCTCTTTTGGAACCTGTACAAAGGTAGCTGTGGTGCATGTCTGCTTTTGCCAGTGTCTTATTGTATAGTTTCAGATCTAGAAAAAAACACTTAAAAATGCTGTTAGTGTTCACATCTGGCTATGATAAGGAGATTGTATTTTTAGGAAGATGAATGGAAGCAGAGAGCAGCACTGACTGCAGACAGTTCCAGGCTGTACCTTTAAATTGCATTACTACCTCAGCAGGATCAGTAGTTTAGTAGTTTGCATTAGTTAGATTAGTAGTTTGCATTAGTAATTTTGGTTATCTGTAGCTTGTGCTGCCACAACAGATTGTCAGGAGATCTCTGCAGTCATTGTACTGGTTTTGTTACAGCCATTGACCAGACTAAAAGCAAAGGTGTGTATAAGAGGATTATTAAATGAGTTATTTATTTAGCAGGTGACCAGTGGGTTTTCTTCCATTCTGTCATAAGCAGGACAGGTTTCTCTGTTAACTGGAAAAAATTGGCTGTGCAAGGGAAGCATCTTTCTAGACTATTGAATTATTAAAATATTTGGTAAGATTTTACTGGAGAAATACAAGTAATGAGCTTTGGATAGCAAGGCTGTTCATGTGGCTTTTGGGGCTTTGTGTCTCTATTTTGTAGTTAGGAAGTGAGGTCGTGGTTTTGGTTTAGATGGAAAGATCATGTCATGTACAAATTAACTTCACATGCTACATTCTCATCCTTCCTTCTCATGAAGAAGGCAGAGCAGGTAGAAATGAAACAGAAATGCAGTAAAACCTCGTGTTGAAGCACAAGTCAGATGGCTGAAATCAAAACAACAATTACAGTTAATGTGATTAGATTGTGAAACATTGAAACATCATTCCTGATGTTTTTATTTAGGTTTTTAATACATAAATTCTGTTGATAATTCTAAATAGTATCTTGGCATATAAAAATACATTTTCTTTTTGTTGTATTGAAAAATGGTGTAAAATTTAGGACTTCTTCTAGTAGTAATACTACTATTAGTAGTCTTAATTTTCTAATAGTACTAATAGTAGTAATACTATTTGTACTAATTCTAATAGTACTAATAGTAATACTACTAGCAGTAGTCCTAATTTTCTAATAGGATCATATAAGGTGGAAAATTTAGGACTATTTCATTGGACTTGTTTAGTCTCCAACTTTCTGCCTTAACTGCAGATCCATTTCTATCCAAGTCCAACCTGTCTGATCAAAGTATTCAATTTCATTAATTCACTTGTTCTTTTTTCTCTCCCACCTCCCTCAGCACCCATTTTGTTGGCCTTGGTGGCAGGAGAAGCAGCAGGGATCATGGAGAACATCAGTGATGATGTCATTGTGGGTCGGTGCCTGGCCATCCTCAAAGGCATCTTTGGCAGCAGTGCTGTGCCCCAGGTCAGTAGGGGGAAGGGTGCATTGCCAGCCTGTGGGAAGTGGGAGAAGGAGCAGAGGAAACAGCACTATAAATGTCTGAGTTCCAGCTGAGGATCTACATGCAGCAGGGTCTTGTCCGGNCAGCTGCCCTGGGCATCCCTGCTCTGCACACAAGATTGCCAATGCCCTTGGCAACCATCCCAAATCCCACAGCAGCACAGTCCTTTAGGTGGCACAGCAGCAAACACTCCAGTAGTAAAGCTGCCAGCTGAAGCAGGGACTCTGCCTTTGTCTCTCCAAATGTTTTTTTCCATCCCTGATTGATTCATGTACCAGAGGATGACTTGATGCAGTGCCACTTAGTTATCAGAGAATATTCTTAGCCATAAAATTTGCTGAAACAACTTTATAACACAAAATACAGCAGCCACTCCACCCCTGGCAAGTGCTAACTTCAGACTTGGTTTCTCCTACAAGAGTGGAGAGTTTCTGGAGATCAGTTCAGGTATTGGTTTCTTGCCCTGTAACTGCCTTCCCTCACATACCTGCTCCTCTCCTTGGAGCCCTGGTGGTGCAGGGGAGTTGGATTCAGGGTCCTGCAGCTCCACCCTGGCTGTCCTTTTGCCCAGAGGGTCAGCCTGGAGGAGGTACTCAGAAGAGCCATACTGCTTCCTTCGGGAACTGGACACAAAATCCTTGCTCTCATCCTGTGCAAAGGAAAATAAAAAGGGTTGGGATCCAGGGTCTGTGAAGGATCTGGAACAGCACTGGGGTTCAGGTGCCAGGTTTGCAGTGTAAGGTGTGCTTTGAGTCCTTTTAGGAAGGAGAGACTTAAACCACCAGGCCAGCTCTGCCATGGCCTCATTTATGTGCTATTTCATACAGATCTTTTCTCAGAACCATCCAGTAATTTTAACCCAAGTTTTGAGTGCATGGTGACAAAACAGGACAGATCCCTTTGACAGAATTACTGAGGTCCAAGGAAAGATTCATTCTATTTTCTCTCTCCTGTGCAGTTATGGAGGGCAGTGATAGAGAGGGGCTTTGCTGAGAGCCTGGCATCCAGCCAGGGTCAACCCACTAGAGATGCCCTCATTGGTATCCAAAGCAGGGGAGAGAAAGGTGAAAAACATCCCTGGACACTGCCTGGGAGCCTTCTACCATCAGAGAAGTGATGATGGCTTCCCTTGAAGACAAGGCTGCTTTAGAATTTTGCCAATTTATGCAGCAGACAGCCCAGCTCCAGTGATTAACGGCAGAGGCAGAAGAAACCATGCATTCATCTGCCATTGCTGCTGCTCATCTGCTCCCTGCCTCCAGCACATCTGCACCAATTTTCATCACACATCACAGCAGGGGAGTACAGACTGCACTCTGTGAAACACGAACCCCAGCTCGGGGGCTGCTCCAGGTCCTGCAGTGCCTCAGGTGTGGAGGGAGCTGGAGCAGGCTGGCTGCCAGCAGCAGAGGGAGCTGCTCCCCAGGCTGCAGCACCCACTCACCAGCAGCAGCTCTGCTCCCGGGGCTCCCAAAGCAGCTCCAGAGTCAGGAACTCCTGAGCTGCACTGGAGACATCTGTCTGAATCAGCAGTACTCAAAGGGAAGGTTGCAATGGAAGAGAGGAAGATTTTGGCAAAACCAGCACAGATCTCATGTTTCCCACATAAGATTCTCAAGGCAATGTCAGACTGTGGATAGTGGAGCTGGGAAGAGGTGACAGTGATACCTCCATAGGACAGCCCAGTGCTCCCTTCTGCCAGAGAAAAAGCCCCATCTTTAACTTAAAAACACAAATCCAAGTTGCTGTGATAAGAGGTATATTATAAGCCTGAAGATATCTCTCAAAGGGCTTTTTTCCAAGGACACATGTAACATTTCAAGTTGCATACAATTTGCTATATCTAGTCCAATTGAGGATCTGCAGTCTTTCAGGTTAACTTCATACTCATAATTCACAAACTAACAGTACACAATCTATGACCAAGAGATTTGGGACTATGTGGTGCCAAGGGTGATTTTATTGCAAAGTCTGACACAGAGAGAGATCTTGAGCTCAGTTCTGTGTGAACCAACCATGGTTGCTCTCCTGGCACAGAAAGGCTGGAATCCAGCTAATCCTGGATACACTTGGCTTGACCAGGTTGCTGTGTCAGGTGAACCTCAGCTGCAGGGAAGTTAAACTGCACAGCTGGCAAATTTATCTGACAGCAAGGAGAGCACCTGCAGAGCTGCACTCAGCCCTGGGTGGGCTGCCAGGAGGAAAACTGAAAAGAAATCCTTGAGTGCCACTGCCTGGGGGTCTGCAACCAAGCACACACAGAATCAGTTGTAAATGAACACAGTGAATTGAAACTCCTGGGATAAAGGACACCCAAGGGATGGATCTCTCATTTCCCAAGCACACAAACTGCTGTTTTGCAGAAGAACAACTTCAATTATATCAGCTCTGCTTGGATTCATGAATAAACAGAACAGATTGAGTATGACCCACCCCGGCCAGGGAGACAATGTATTCTCAGTTTCCAAATGTAGCTGGAAGGCCACCCTGTACTTTCTAACACCAGCTAACAAACTTTCTGCAAAGCCAAGTGCAAATTCTGTGCTTCTCACAGCCAGAGAAGTGGAAGAGATTTGAAAATGTAAAATTCTTTGCCTACCTCCACCAGTTCATCTTTGTCAATGCCAAAGTCATTCAGTTATGACCCCATCCCCTCTGCCACCAGCCCTGTCACATTACCCAGCTCGTTTCCTCCTGCCCATTGCCAACAGCAGGAGCTGCTCAGGAGGTGCTGAATGAACAGCAAGGCAGGAGCTGCAGCAGAACCAGGCTGGTTTAATGGCCAGAAGGGCACCAGTGAGTGCTGCCAGTGAGTTCAGGTGACATCTCCAGAGCCTCAGCCCCAGTGGCAAGCACATCCCACCAGAGCAGCTCGTGGCACTGCTTTGAGGGACTCCCCTCACTGAGGACAGGGAAAGCTCAGCTCTCCTTGTGGCTCTTGCTCCTTTCCAGGTGCAATACTGACACAGAGCAAGGAGGGAGCAGCTTTGTGTTACCAACCACCATCCACCTGCTATGGGGATGCCCAGGAAGCATTTCCAGACCAGGTTTCATGTGAGGAAACCATGGAGCTCTATCCATCTCCACAGCTGCCATTAGAGCTACAACTCTGCCTCACCACAACCCCACTCAAATCTGCTCATTCCCATCATTTTTTCATTGCTACTCCAAATTTAAAATGCTCCATAAAGTCACTCTGAAAAGCATGCCATGTCCTACTTAAGCTGTGACTATATTTCTCTGATGCTACTATGTGGTTATTCAGATGGCATTACAAGCCCCAAGCAGATGGATCTCATTTCAAGAAGGCTAAATCTGGTAATTCACACATGAGAAAGTTGTGGGCGCTGTGAATTGTGAATTTGCTGAAGGAAGGCAGCAGGAGCGGGGAGAGGCAGCACTTAGCAAATAATAAAATTTGAAATCATGCAGCCTACAAGGAACAGCCAACCTGGAGAACCTCATCAAGTGCAAAGTGCTGAAGATAGGAAATAAGCTGCAAAATTTGAAACCATGCAGCCTACAAGGAACAGGTAACCAGGAGAACCTCATCAAGTGGAACAGTGCTGAAGACAGGAAATAAGCTGTAAATTTAAAATCATGCAGCCTACAAGGAACAGGCAACTTGGAGAACCTCACCAAGTGGAACAGTGCTGAAGATAGGAAATAAGCTGTAAAATTTCAAGTCATGCAGCCTACAAGGAACAGGCACCCTGGAGAAGCTCACCAAATGGAACAGTGCTGAAGATAGGAAATAAGCTGTAGAATTTGAAACCATGCAGCCTACAGGGAACAGGCACCCTGGAGAAGCTGACCAAGTGCAGGAGTGCTAGGACAGGGTACTCACAGGGGGCGTGGAGCGCTGCCAGGCAGCAGCTGCTGCAGGGTCACTGGCACAGCTCCGGCGGGGCACCAGCTCAGGGGCACTCAAGTTGCTTTTGGTCCTTCGGGAGCCCAGCTCAGGGGCACTCCAAGAATTAGCTGTGGCACTTGTCCTTGAGGAAGGCTGCTCCATGAAGTCTGCTTTTGAACTACTCCCTTCCCCTTCTAAAAGGTCCACTGAGGATCTACACAAGTTTGTGGCACTGGAAGTTGCACTTTTCTCCACTTTGGTTTGAGAGTCCTCCAGGGAATGCAGGCCTTGCCTTGTTCTCCAGGAACTTCTGACAGTGACGTGCTTTGTTTCGGATGAACCTGCATCTGATGAGCCATGGCTCTTCCAGCTGATTGTCTCCACAGGCTCTCTGGAAGAGAGCTGATTCTCTGCACTGCTCCTCTCTGTCAGTTCAGAGGTCTTTAGCATAATGCTGCTTCTCGAGACCACTGTTTCAGCTTTACTCCTCAGCACTGCCTCCCCACTTCTGTCTGCCTCAGATGACTTCAGAGCACTTCTATTTATTGATGCCTCAAAGGGTGAAGGGACATTGTTTGTTATTGGTGGTGAAGGCTCATTTGAAGCCACTCTGATGTTGCTGGTGGAAACATGCCTTTCCTTGGCTGCTGTATCTGCAGTGGTCCTTGAAGCTGTTGGCTCAGAAGGAAAGATTGTGATGCTGCTTGTCATTTTATTTGTTACCATTTTAAAAGTAGACTTCTGTTTTTCTGACTCTGCCTCTGAAACAGTTCCTCCCATGATTGCCTTCATATCCTTCTCAACAATTGCAGGTTTAATGATGGCTTTTGATCTCAGAGCTTCTCTAGGGCTGAAGGATCTTCTGGATTTCAATTCTCCAGTGCTGGCATCTAATGGTTTTATGCTCTTGCTAGAGTCTTCATCATTCACAGTTTTTTTGTCATTTTCAAAAAGCGATGCTCTAAAAACTCCCCTAGAATTGGAGAACTGCTTGGAACTGACTTTCTTTCTCGTCTCAAAATCTGACAGAGCGGTTGGTTTTTTGCCTCTCCCTGATTCTTCATCTGAATTAACTTTTTCCTGGTTACTCTGGATGGTTTTAGAATCAGTTTTTAAACCCATATTTACATGATCTGCTGCTGAACTTGAAGACTGCTCAGTGCCTTCTTTATCAAGACCTGTGAGAAGCTGCAGAATGTCCTCCTGACTCCTGGAGTGATGGGAGCGCTTGGTCAGCGTCGAAAGCTTCCCCCTTTCAGGTGATGTGTCTGCAGCTTCTCTTTCCTGGGAGATCACTGCCCTTTTGGCCCTCCCCTCTGAGGGCTGTCTGTGTGATGAGGCAAAAGTGCTCGCTGCTTCCACTTTGGAGGCAGCAGGCTCTGAGGCTGACCCGCTGGAGGACACGTGGTACCTGTAAGCAGAGGCTGTGCCATTGGCAGAGCTGTGGGTACCCCTGGTGAGCTGTGGGTCCCCCAAGCCCTCACTGACCTCAGCCTGACTTGTCTTCAGCCTCTCAGACAAAGAACCCGCTGATTCTCCTTTGCTCGGCTTTTCATCCCGTGCGTCAGCGCCGTTCTGGCAGCTCCCACGGAACACCTGAGACGGCTTTTCCACCTTGGATCTCAGGCCTGTGTCCCCAACAGCTTTGGAAGGTGCTTTCCAAGCCTTCTGCTCCTGTGCAGCAGGAGGATACCGGCTGAGGACAGATGGCTGCTCTTTGGATCTCTTCCCCTCGTTCTGCACCACGCAGCTTTCCTTCTGACCGGAAGAAAGAGTGGAAACTAAAGATTTCTCTTCCAGTCTCCTTGTATCTGTGGCAGCAGTGTCTGAAAGGGCAGATGCAGCAGAAGCTTTCCCTGCTTTTCTGTTCATCAGGCTTGGACTGGGCACCCTTTTGGCAGTGTGGCTGTAGCTGTCATTGCTGAGGGCAAGGTCTCTGTTCCGCGCTCTTTCCCGGCGCTGCTGTGGCGAGAGCTCCCTTGGCCTGTGCTTAGCAGCTGCCAAATCAGCCAGGACACCTCTGTATTTAGGTCTGTCGTGCTTTCCCCTGCTAGAAAAGCTTGTATCTTCATTTTCAACTTCTCCATTCTCCAGCTCTTTCTGTTTCTTTATTTGCATTTTTATTTCTTCTAGCTGACCTGTTAAGAGTTTGTTCTTATTCTGCTCACTCAGGTAACTGTCTTGCAGATCATTATTTTTGGCTCTCACTTTTTTCAGTTCTTCTTCTAAAGATTCAAAATGTTTGATCTGAATTTTAAGTTTCTCAATTTCTTGGGTGAGATCTTTCACTTTGTTATCTTCCTGGTTTTTATTCTTTTGGTTTTCTGATTTATTCCTGGTTTCATTTTCTACGTGTTTCAGGTAATCCACACTTCCCTTCCTCCTGGTCTCCTTAGAAGGCAGTGCAGAAGTCAAGTCATCTTCAATTCTGATATCATTTCTGTCCAGCAGATTGTTGGATGACCTTTCTAGCAAGTTGGATGCATTTCTAGTTTGATCTGCCCTATTTAGTTTATTGTTTTGTTCTAATTTCTGTGTTAGCTCCTGGATTATTTTTTCATTTTGCTTTTCTCTTTCATTAAAATGTTTTCTTTCTGTGATGAAGCTCAGGGCTAAGGATTTCAGCTTTTCTAGCTCAGCTGTTAAGGTCTGCTCAGTTTTATCCAGCCTGTCCTCAGATGATTCCAGTTCTTTCACTTTCACCCTAAGTATTTCTAATTCTGTAGATATCTTTTTGGTCAAGTTCTTCTCTTCATTGAGGCTAAGACACAGCTGGGTGCAGTCGTTCTTGCTCCTGCTGAAAGCCTCCTCCAGCTTCTCCAGCTCTGCCATTCTCTTCTGAAGGAGTTCAATTTCTGACTTCAGATCTCGAGTGAGGCTCTCCTCCTCTTCAAGCTTTTCTTTCATTAATCTGCAAAGCTCTTCAGCCTTCCTGATTTCTTCATCCTTGCCTTCAATCTTCAGCACTCTTTTCCTCAGGGCTTCAATGTCAGCCAGCATGCTGGAGTTGCTGCCTTCTGCCTGGATAACTTTGTCCTGGAGGTCCAGCAGCTCATCCTCTGCTTTCTGCAGATTTTTTGTTGCTTCCTCCAGCTCATCGAGGCGGCGACTGAGGCTCTGCAGTTTGAAACGGAGGTGTCGATTTGAGGTTTCCTTGTAACCTGTACATTCTGCCATGATTCTTTTGTTCCTTTCAGAACAAAGCTTTTCTTAGTCTGGGTGAATGGTATACACTTTGTGTATCTCCAGTATGTTGTTGTTCCTTTGAGTGGAGGCAATCTCACCCTGAAAGAAAAAAATGCTCCAAATCAATATAAGAGCTCAGAATATAAATATATTCACAGTTTAAGTTAGGCTATCAATGTTTATATAAATAACTTTTTAATTAAACACATTTCTGAGTATTAAATTAGGTGAAATGAAATTGCAGAGAAGAGCCACAGTCCATTTACTTTGTAACTATGAGTCATTTAAATAGTGAATCCTAGCAAAACTCTGCAGTGTTTGATATTAGATTACTGCTTTGAGTTGGTTGAAATGTGTGAAGTTGGGGTTTGAAGTTGGGTTTTGTTACTTTGTGACCAAAACCAGCCTGTTGCCCACGGCTAAGGGCAGGAAGGGTCCTCGATGCTGCTCTGCCCAGGTGGGTTGTGCACCAGCATGGAGCCTCAGCCAGGGCTCCCCAGCCTGGGCAGCTGCTCCCTGTGAGATCCCAGGCTGGAGAGGGTCACACTCGTGTGCAGAGGGTCACACTGGGGTGCAGAGGGTCACACTCGTGTGCAGAGGGTCACACTCGNTTTTGGAAAGACTTAAGGAATTGCCATCAAAAATTCACCTTAATGTGTGTTATCATAGAATATAACCATGGAGTTCACCACCAACGTCAGCCCAAGGACTTTGTCCCTTATGTTGTTGCAATTGGCATTGTTTGTATTTCTCACAAAGTGCAGAATTTGCACGTTGCCAACAGCTGAAGCTCCTGTCTCTGTCTTGTCTCAGCCCAAGGAGACCGTGGTGTCCCGCTGGCGCGCTGACCCCTGGGCCCGGGGCTCCTACTCGTACGTGGCTGCAGGATCCTCTGGAAATGACTATGATTTGATGGCTCAGCCAATCACCCCAGGACCAGCCATTCCAGGTGCTCCACAGGTGAGGCATTCTTTTTACAAAAAGCTCAGAACAAAATGAATTAATTTTTTCATTCGTTCTGTCATCACAGGTTTGGTGTTATTTGTTTGCTAAAAAAAAAGAGTATTTTATTCAGAAAGCCAGTTTGGTTATGTCTGAACAGAGTATTTAATATTACACCTGTGTTTTGTACTCCATATTTTTATTGTCCATTACCATATTTAGGTGAGTTGTAGTGATTTGAAAGAGGGTAAAGGCCAGAGTGAGAAGAACAGGTATCAAAAGGTCTCTTCCAAATGAGGGGGCCAACACAGTGAAGGCAGGGTCATCTCCAGATCATGTTGAGAGAATTAAGTTTGAAAGCACTGCCAGGAAAGGCTGTGTGGCTTTGGCTTTATTTGAGTTCTTGTTTTAATGATACAAGTCATTAATAGACACAGCTATGATTAAAATTATTCTCTGCAGAATGTAATAATGAACATTTATTTTTCTCACACTTCTTACAATTCTGTGGGTAGTTGTTTAAGGTCTCAGTTGAAAGAGAAACTGCTGATTTAAATGAGTTGTTGAAGTTTTTGTTTGCTTACTGTGTGTCATGGTTTGATGCTGGCACAGTGCCCCCATGAACATTCATTCTCCCTGGTGTCTGCTGGGAGATGTGACCAGAAATAGAGCAAAGCAGGCTCCAGTTTAGGAATAAAGGAAAGAACTAGAGTTACTATTCCAGGATTAGATTGCTCAATGTATTATATGAACATTGATTTTTCTCCCACTTCTTATGATTCTGTGAGCAGTTGTTGAAGGTCTCAGTTTAAAAAGAAACTGCTGGTTTAAATGAAGTTTTGGAGTTTGTATTGGCTTACTGTCATGGTTTGACGTTGGCACAATGCCAGTGCTCCATGAAAATACATTCTCCCTGGTGTCTACTGTGAGATGATAAGTAGCATTATCAAATGAGTTATTTGTTTAGCAGGTGACCAGTGGGTTTTCTTCCATTCTGTCATAAGCAGAACAGGTTTCTCTGTTAACTGGAAAAAATTGCTGTGCCAGGGAAGCACCTTTCTAGGCTAGAAGTGACCAGAAATAGGAATCCTTTATTCCTCAGGCTCCAGCTGAGGAATAAAGGAAAGAGCTAGAGTTCATATTCCAGNTGCAGGATTCAGGCCCCTGTACATGCAGCAGACACCTCTCTTTCCAGCCCTGCACCTCTCTCCTGAAGACACCCTAGTGATGCAGGTTCAGGAGCCATGAACAGAATCAGCAAAAGGCAAACCCCAGCCATAACTGAGGATGGGGCAGCCTCCCATGCTGGCTGGCAGATGGAGGGCACTGGGAGCTGCTGCCATTTGACACTGCCAGTATTTCTCCAGCATCTCAGGCTGCTCAGCAGAAATCTTCACCTGGGCTGTAGTGAAGATTTCACATCCCAAGGACACTCTACCAGAGGAGTTTCAAGTTTCTCCCTTCCATTTCCAAAGCTGCTGTTGCCCCCAGCTGCCACCCACTCACCCACCCAGGAGATGAGCAGTTGCTTATCCCTCTCCTTGCTGCTGCTGACATGAGCAGCAATTAGAACTCATCAGCACACTGACACACTGAGTGTGAACTATTCCAGCTCAGCTCAGAGCTGGCAGGGTGGTTTGTAAAAAACCCCTCTGTGCTTTGAGGGAGGAGCAGGAAAGGGCCCCTGGGAGGATCTGAAGTCCCCTGTGGCACTCAGCATTAGCACTGGCCTGAGGCACGGGAGGGCTGCTGCAAACCTGAGTGGAGGCAGGATGACTGCAGCTCTGATCTCAGCCTTGCTCAGGAAATCTGTCTTGGACCAGAACTTGACCTCCAGAATTTCTGTGGAGCTCTGTGCAGAGGAAACACGCAGGAGTTTCCTAGGGCACAGTGTGATGAGCAGGATGTGAGCAGTGCCAGCAAGGGAGGCAGCAGCGCCCTGACACACAGCCTGGGCTGGGGGATCCATCTCCAGGCAGGCAGGGGGCCCAGGCTGCCCCACCATGGGGACCCACTGGGCACCTGTGGGACCATCTGGGGGATTTGTGGTCAATCCCACACGGTTCAGCTCTTCAGCCCCTGAAGGAGCACTGCAAACAGCACCAGGAGAGGAACCCTGGTGTCCTGAGCACAGCCTGGCCACGTGCCTGTCCCCTCCCTCACCACCATGGCCATGTCCTGCTCCTGCACCACCTTCCCCCAAGCTGTCCCCACACTGCTGAGGCCACTGCAGCTGCCTGCAGGCAGGAAAGGCTGTCCAGCCCCAGCAGAACCCCAGGAATGGCACTGCACCAGCACAGGAAAGGCCACAGAGAGTCTGAAAACAAAAGCTTGTCCCTGCCAGGCCAGGAGCTGGGAGTTAATGGTTAACCCAGCAGCAGCTGGGCTGCAGTGAGAGCAGCAGGCAGGCAGAAATGCACAGGCCTGGTGGCTGTGGCGCTGCTCTAACACTGCCACGGGCTCCACACAGGCTGGGGCACATCACAGAGGGGCTCAGAGCTGGCTCTGGAACATCCCAGAACCTCCCCAGCTGACATGATTTACTGCCAGAGAGCAAAGAGGCTCAATCTGATTAGTTTAATAAGGAGAAGGAGATGTAAAGCAACACCTACAAACAGTAAGAGCTACAAACAAAAGGATCTACAACAAATCTCCTACCTGGAGGGCCTTTAACATTCTGGCATAGCCAGAAGCAACCTCAGTGCTGGGAGACAGAACCAGACCAAATTATTATTACAAACAGAGTGCACATGTATAAGATTGAGGGGAATTGGCCAATATAAAATATTATCTTAGGTACACATAGATACACAGATATATAGGTATTTGTATCTCTGAATGTTTTGAAGTCATTATTTGAGTTAGGGCTTGGACCACAGAACTCAAGAGGACTTACCTAAACTACTCTGGCTGTTTGTGATTGTTCTTCTCCAGTCTGTCAATGATATTAAAGAATTAGAGCAAATTGTACAGTATTCAAACACTGGGACTACTACTAATGCTAATTAATATTGTTGGTGGATATTTAAACAGGAGATGTTAAATAAATCTGATAAGGGTTGTAAATGCACTGAACAATCTGATATGGATGTATGGACTTAGGCTGAGAAAAATCTAACTCTATCTTAAAATTTTTGGAACTAAATCCCATCAAATACTCAAACCAACAAAGCCCCAAAAACCAACCAAACAAAAAAAACCCCACCTCAAACAATTGAAAATCCACACACAAACAAAAAACCACAATAACAACAAAAAACTCCACCCAAAAGTAAACAAACAAAAAGCCCAACCAAAACAAAAAACCCACAGGAAGAAAAGAGGATGATAGCTTTCATAGCAGCAAGTAAACTATGGCAGTGGCAAATGTAGTAGGGGGAGTTGAGTTTAACAGAGCCATTTGAGTCAGCAATAAAATCAGATTAAAGACTGGCAGGTTGCATTCCTGGACACACTGAAAAGCTGAATGGTCACAGCACAGCTGATGTGCTCCTGCAGCTCAGGACAGCTCCTCCTGGCTGTACCAGAGGAAACACTGAACAGAAATACTCCTGCAGCAATAGGGATGCCGTTATTTTCTATGTGGTACTGGCCTGTATATTGAAACACCAAGACTGATGCATCTCCTTTTGCTCAGCTCTAAAGTCTTCTAGATTAAAAGAGGAAAAGATGCTCAGCTGCCTTCACCTGACCTTGCCAGGGAACAGGACTTGCACAGGAGGAGAACTCTTCCCCCACTGACAGCAAAGGGGGCTCAGGGATCTGGATGGCAGCTGTACCCCAGCAATGGCCACGCTCTCTGCAGGGCCAGGCATCAAGAACATAAACTGAAAGTTGAGGAAAGCTTTGGAAAAGCTCAGAAAAGCAATCAGGTGTGATTCTTCACTCTTTAAAACTTAAAGGTCTGATTTTTTGCCTCAACAACAAGGGCAGCCCTGCCTTAAGCCAAGAGGCACAACAGCATCCCTTTGGATTTGAGTTCTGAAAGAACATTTTTCAAATGAGACACTCAGGAAGCCTGGGGAGCCTCCAAATACCTGGTACTCAAATAAAACACCAAGGCAAAATATGTGGCCAGTAACTATCTACAGAAAAAAGAAGAAAAAACATTTTGTCTGATCTAAAATGTTCTTTATTAGAGCACATGGAGTCAAACC